CTGCTTCTTTTTTTAAAGGTTGGAGGTGTAAACGTTACGGACACAGAACAGGAGATAAAGAATGCCCGTTCTTTATTAAAGGCAATCAGAAATTGGAACAATTTAGAGTAGTGAGTACAAATACTGCAGTATTATTGCTTGTATTTTTTAATATTGATGATGCATAACCTTGCAAGTGAAGAGAAGCCTGTTAGATGATGCTTATTAAGGACATTTCCTCTGTCTCTAGTATAATATAGATGCCGAAAATCTCCTAATAAAGAAAAAGCTACAGATGTGGTTGGACGTTTGACTACTGTGCAGAAAATCTACTCTTCGAGAGGAAAATTAGTGATTTTTTACATTTAAATTGGAAATCTTCAAGAACCTCTTTCAACCATTATATTCAGTTTCTGTGATTAAAATGACCACGTAACAAAAAACGTTTAGTCACACTTGAGCTGCCCACAGGACAGCTGCCTCAGGCCTTCTGCTCTCACTGTGAACAACCACATCATGAAGCCTGTTGTCTAGGTCTGTAATCCCATCACCGCCTACAAGTCCGGGCTCGTGCTACGTGAGACTGCATCTCAGCTCTGCCGATTCTTTCTGCATGACCTCTTTAACTTTTCCTGTTGCTCTGCACTGATAAACTGTATGCCAAGCTCTCATCACTTTGTGACTTACATCCTCGTTTCTGTCCTTGAAAAATGCAATCTGGACTTACTCTGTCCAGTCAGAATGCTACTGCAAAGAATATTTTTAGCCCGCTCCCATGACCAGGTTGCCTCGGTTCTGCATTTTTCCTCAAGCTGCTTCTCTGTTGCATCAAACTCTTGCTGTATGTCCAAGGCCCTTCATGGTGCATACCCAACATCTTTCATTTGCTACTGACGTTTTAATTCCCATCTCCAGTCAGCACCTGGTATCTCCTCTCTGTTGAACTTGTTTGCTGAATCTTCCCACAGAAATGATCACCCTGTCTTTTTGCTGTGTTCTTGCATGGCATGAACTCATCTTAAGTATCTGCAAAGTTTTTTGCTTTCTTCCTTCACAACAATCTTTAACTGCAATACCTGTTTAGTTTAAAAATAACTGATTTAAGAACCAATAATGGTTGCGCATAGCATGTTAGGGCAACTCCAGCTTCATTATCTGTCTTCTGTTTCTTGCTCTTGTATTCCTGTGTGTTTGTATCCAAGTTTTTAAAATATGCTATAAGGGTACAGCTGATTATTATGAACTTCAGTATTTCTTTGATGTCTAGCTATCCCTATAGTATATGTATGGGGTTCTCTTAGTGAGCGGTGATTGGAGAGGGGGAGAGAGAGAGCATACCTAAGGAGAATCCCCTTTACTGGTGATGTAACTAGATAAGCTTTTCCTAAAGTAAAAAAAAAAACAAAAACTACCAGTTCAGATCAACAATGTTAAGTCTGAGAGCATACTTGTGAATTTCATCTTTTGATAGAAACCTCTTGCATTGGGTTGCTTTGGTTTATTTTTTGAAGAAACACCACATTCAGTGACAAATACTTCTCTTTACCAACATTGGATTTTCTGTTTTCCTCTTTGTAGGCACATGAAGATCCAATGTACGATATAATAAGGGAAAATAAACGTCATGAAAAAGAAATGAGGTAAGTGTGTTTCTGTAGTAAACCGTGTCTTCAGTTTGCTTTTCATTTTGATAACATGATACTGATGTATAGGTGAAATTTTGATATAAGCTACCCTTACCAACTCAGAACATTTTTTTAATGGCAATTTCTTTATGTTGGCAGACACTAATGCATTTCTGTTTTCTGAGTAATCACTCAGTAATACTTCCTACCTCTTTAATTCTATTAGCTTCTATATGTTTTCCCAAAACAAAAATTTAAAGAGGAGTGCTATTCATTTTTGCTAAAATATTCAGGTACTTGAGTTTTGTTTTGGTTTAGGCCTAAAACCAGTTTGAATGTGGGAATTTTTGGTTTGTTTGTTGGTTTGTTTTTTTTTTTATTTTCACTGACTTCACTGAGATGTTTTCTAAAAAATTTGGTACGTCGAAGTGCCTTCAGTAGGTATGAAGGGATGGATTTAGAAAGCTAGTGCTAGACATCTGATGTTGCTCCTCATGTGAGGTCATTATTCAATATATAAAGCAGCAGTTCTTTAATGCTTTCCTGCTTGAACTGCATTAATGCCATAACTGAACAAACTATAGATAGCCCACAGAGTAGTACTGCTGCTGTAAGCGTGTTGCTTTTTTTTTTTTTAAATAACAAAAAAAATCCCAACAAATCCTTGGAAAGGATACTGAAGACAACAATAAAATAAGCAAATAGTTTGTCCCCATTTGCCCATAATCCATGAAGGTTCAAAGGAAGAGTGCTTGTCAAAAATGTCTCTGTGTCTCAAGTAGTCTACTCTCAGCTTCGCTGACATAATCTCTGTATCAGCAGGGTAATGAATTTCATAAAATCATAATCCCAATATGCATCTGTGTATGCATAAGCATAGAACTTCTTACAGTGACCTAGTGATAACTGTTGCCTCATTTTGCACACACAGATATTGGCCAATTAGCTAGTCTGTCTTTGATATCCCGTGGGATGGAAAGTCTCTGAGAACAGACCATCTGCTTGTCTCAAAAGAGGCTGCTTTTATCAGCCTGTGAAAAATGTAACAGGAGCGTAATTCAGCAAAAGAGGAAGTGTTCCCTTGCCCTTTGCATGCAGCTTCCGTTTCTCAAGCTAGGAAGGAAACAGACGAAAGCTAGAATAAATTATAACAGGTAGAGAAGAGCTAGAAAGGATTCTCATTCACATTTTTTAAACTCAGGATACAGCAACTGAAGCAACTCCTGGAGGACTCTACCTCAGAAGATGATGATGATAACAGTGATGAGGATGATGAAGATGGCAGCAGCTCCACCTCCTCAGAATGCAGAGATAAACACAAGAAGAAAAAGAGAAAGAAAGAAAAGAAAAAAAAAGAAAAGAAGAAGAAGAAAAAGAGAAAGCGTAAGTCATCTAAATGTAATGAGAAGTCGGAATCTGACTGACAGCAGTCACCTGCTGCGTGCTTATCGACCTCTGCCTGTGAGCGGCAAGGCACGACCCAAAGAACGAGGAAGAAACCACCAGAAAGGGCTTGAATCAACTCAGAACATACAGATGGTCACACACAGCAATCCTACACTGCTTGTGCTTTTCTGCCCCTCTGCAGTGCTGCAGCCAGCAAGAAGAGAGCTGCATTAAAAAGTGCTCCATCAACCACGTCTTTATACTGCAAAACCTGTGCTAATGGTCATCTGTCTCACGTGACTATCGGCAGAGGGCAGCGACCACCAAGACATGGCCAGCAAATCTGCAGAATTCAGCAGGCTGTCTGTTGAAGTGTCTTTTCTCCATTAAGTTATTTATCATAGACGATGCCTCGTTGTAACAGGACTGCAGCTGGCATTGTGCAGAGCACTGACAGTTCACTTACAGGGCTTATAATAAGCAGGTTGGACTGAATTTTTGGGTTTTTTTCTCTGCATACTGCCTGTGTGCTGAAGGTCATTGTACTTATCCTGATGCTGGCAGCTAGGGAAATAAAGAGCACTGCTGAAGAGGGAAAAAAGTTCATCAAGGGGATTTACTTTAAGACAAAATTGCAGCATCAGCAAGACTTGAGTTTTTACGTGTAGCAAAATCTCAACATCATCGCCATTACCACGTGCAGTTCTGTAATACATAACGTGTTCCCCGTACCATAGGAGCAGGAGCCAAGTGTAATGATGTTAGATGTTCAGCTGTCTTGTAAAGAGGTAGTGGTTTCAGTTATTTAAACAGGGGCTTTTCATGTTAGAAATGAAAAAGATTAATTTCTACATACACTTTGGTATCAGTTGTTTTGATACATTTGAGGTTTTTTTCCTTTTAAAAAGGTCCAGGGAAGTAAACTGCCAACTTTTTTGTTTACTGGAATTATTTTATGTAGTAATATTTTATGAATCATCCCACAAGAATATAAACGAGTAAGGCTTTCAAAATTATTTTCAACTATATGCATGTAAGCCACAGAAAGTGGTAAAGTAGTAAGAGAAAGAAGTAAAGAACTAGTAAAGCAGGAAGAAAGGAAGGTTTTCTGACCTTGTGGACCGACCACACTTTACTTTTAACTAATCTTGCAAGGCAGACTTGCCTAGAAAGACTGAGAGCTATAAACTGCATGAGAGCAAATTTCTCTGAAACCTCAAGGTACAGTGCTACAAAGCTGTGATTTGAGGACCTATATGATGTATATTGGTACTTTGCAAAAGGAGAAAGAAAAATAGATTCGCTTTGAAAGGACTAGGAAGGACTTTAAGAAGTTAGTCTCTGTGCTAATGTTTATATTGGAAAAAAAAAAACCTATGATAAAGCTCCAACAGTACTAGAGTGAGCATTATAGACTAAAATACATTTAAGACTTTTTTTTTTTATCCTGAGAGCTTTGGAAAAGAGGACAGGGGAAAGTATACATTAGAATGTGCTTTCTTCCTTCTACATGTTTGAGAGTCATTTAGTAAAATAAGCCCCAATTCCTTGCTGGTCATTCACAGTATGTTCTGCAAAAAAACAAAGGCCTACTTACAAAAAGATTCTTTATTGTTACTCCCAGAGCTTGAACGTGGAGTTGTGTTTATCCTCCCATATTATTCAGCAAATTGCCCTATGATGGGATTTACTGGTGACTCCTGATAGTTCCTGCATCAGCAGCATCATTGACAAGCTCAAAGATCCTGACTTTTTCACCAGAAAAGGATTTAACAGCTGAAATGCACAAGGAGACTTAATGGCCCTGTTCTCTGTATGGCCACATTTGGTGCTGAGAAACATCCTTGTGTTTGTAGCACTGGTGACGGTTGGACCGATGCTGGAAGCCACAGCCAGTATTCACCTGATGTGTTCCAAAAGAATTCTCACTAGAGTTTGTCTAGAGCAGAGCCAACCTAAAGATCTCTTCAGTTACTTTTGTCATTTAAGAGTCTTCTGAAGTTGAGCTCAATAAAAAACCCTCCGTTTTTCCTTCTTAGTGGGTCCTTCCCATTTTACCTACCAGGGTTTACTATCTGAACAATCAAGAAAAGTACTGTAAAAGACCATTCTCTAACTTATATCAAATGCAATTTAAAAGTTTGTTTTGAGATGCCAAATCACTGTTCTGTACCAGTCTAAAGGTCTGTTTAACCCAGTATCTTATTTCTACTCGTGGTCAATAGTGGATGCCTACACAATGGAGCAGTGCAAACTCTAGTGGCATTATTTCACCAAAATGCTGTCTTGGCCTCTACTGCTTGTAGTGCAGGAACTTTGACTCATAAGTTATGTTTTAGTATTTAGTAGCCTTAGATGTACTTTTTCTTTTACATCCAGCCACTTGTAAGCTTTGCAATTGCCCTCAGCAAGGAACTCTAGAGATTAATTAATAATTAATGAAGAAACACCATTTTCTTTCAAACTGCTCCCTACTAGTTTCATTTCATACACCCTAGTTCTTGTAATGGAATGCACGTGGACAACTGGTTCCTATTCGTTTCCCCATACCATTATCACTTTTATAGATCTTTATCATATCCCATACATAAACATTTCAGTAGTTCTCTACTGAAACTCATAAAAGCAGAGCCAGTTTCAAAACTAACAGTTTCAACACAGAAGAAATTCTGAACAGTGCTGACTGGCAGCCAGTGCTAGAGTGCTGAGAAGCATGATTCATCTCATCATTCCGCATTTTAAACAGTGCCAGAGCTGCCATTTAAAAGAGTCTAGGTTTTTTAGAAATATGTAGACTAGAGATAAATACCAACACCCATTTATATTAATGAAAAATGATTCTGTAAGTCCAGAAAGCTATAGTCTTAAAAGACTGATGACCCTTATTTTTTATATCTTAACCATTGAACTGTATCTTTTTGGTCAAAGAGCCCTTTTTTACCCTCCCCCCAGCAATCCTTGCCTTCTTTGTTGGCCTGTATATTTCCATTGGAAAGATCTGTTGAAGCCTAAGTGGTAGTAATAGCATAATTATATAGTCCTGTGAATCTAAATAAGTGTGAAATGCAGCTACAACATACCTCACAGGCAACACAGCTTCACAGGTCTTCAGCTCCCAGTCTGTTCATCTTAATACCCTGAACCATTCTTCTCAGAAAGGTTACTTCAGCCAAAATACTGACATCTGTCTTATTTCTTCGGCCATGAAATTACTTGGGCTTTATAGTCTTGTTCACTGAGATGGCCAGTGGCCATCCATCAGTCAGGGGAATCTGAGGACTGCTTTTTAAAAAAAAAAAACACACAAACACACAGTGCAGGGTTTGTGTTTTTTGTTTTGTTTTGTTTTTTTTTTAACAGTTTTGTTTTTCCTTGGTATGCCTACAGTTCGCATGCAGTGAGTGGTTTTTGCCATTGGCTCCTGTCTCCCATTGTTTTAGTTTAATGGAAAGACCTGTAATTAATCTTCTGCCAACATAAGGCAGAAATCAGGACTTTGTAAAAGGGAAAGCCTTATGCCATGCAGATGCTACCAAACTGAAAATTAAAATACAGAGTTAAAACCTGGCAAGCCACCGTAACCCACTGACTCCACTTCAGTGATTACACCACACCCCCTTTGCAACAGAGGTTTTAGTGAGCTACAAATAATGATTTAGAAGTTCTGAGTCACAGACAGTCTGTCCAAAAAAAACTTCCAGTATGGCAGTCTGAGAGGCCTCTAAGATTTGTTACTGGCGTGCCAAGCAGCAGCTAGATTCATCAGCTGCCCTTCGGCAGATGCTGCAGGAATGAGAACTTCAAAGGCAATGCAGTACTGCTAGGTGACAAGCTGGTGCTGCTGCCAGCCCTGCAGTTACTCATCACTGAGCAATCCAGCTTCAGTGGTAACAGAAGTGACACGTATGCCCATCTGTAACAAATTAAGTCTCAAATATCACTGTGGGCAGGTACCTGGCTGAATGAAAAGAGTCTGGACTTTAATTCACAGCCTTTTAAAATGCAGTTTGTCCTTCACAACCTTTCTGAACATTAAATACAGTTGTAAGCTAGTTGATTTAAGATGCAGTCCACAAATCATCCATGCTGCCCAGTGAAGAAAAAGCCAAGTAGAAGATTTAGTTGCACAGTCACAGGACTAATGCTGTCAGAGTAGAGCACACTATGTACAACATTACCTGAGACGTATTTCTGGAGCACTAGAACATTCATGCATACTACTTGAAGCATCGGTGTGGATCCATAGCATGGGTACACTACAAGACTTTAAACAATTAGTTTAAAATAGCATGTGTTTTCAGACAAAGAGCTGTCTAAACACTCCTGCTGCTACTCCCTCGCATATTCTTCAGAGTTAGCATCACCAGGCCCTAAATTGCTGCCTTATGTCTGGGTAGAAAGTGCACTGACCAGTGCGAGACCTGTGAAAGGATGACTAGCATAACCTTGTGAGTACCTGTGAAATATTAGCCTTTCCCAAAAATCTCCCAGAAGAGAGTGCCATCTAACTGTGAGGTCATGAATATTCCTTTATCAGACAAGCAGTTAAGTCCATCAGCAGAATTGGCTTAGTACTCAATCCCAAAGCTATACTCAAGTTCAGGAAAAAAGGAGTCAATCCTTACCTAAGAGTAATCCTCAGCTACAACTGAGACCTCTCAGGTCATCACTTACAGTCTTCAAGTTGAAGAGATTCTGCCCCTCATTGTCCCTATCAGAATGGGGTCTATCCCCCTCTAAGAGCAGCACATTCCTGTATTACATGTCCAAGATCAGCGGTCCTGTATTTTTCAGAGCATTAGAAAGCTCCATGTTTGAAGTAATTCCCTTCATCATTTTATTCTTTGAGGTTCTGATGCAACAGAGGTTTTGTGCAGCACAAAAGCCAAACAAGAACTTGTATTCCTTATTTTCCTGCAGTGCTTATGGCAGAGAGGAAGTAAAAACTTGGCATCACAGTGTTAAAGTGGATCCTTTCCCCTAACAGCTTGGGGTAAAGGCTATAACTACAGTAGCTCTTTAACAAGTAAGCAGGTGC